GCCTCTGGCCGTTTGGGCCTAACGTGCCCTACCTCAGGCCTATCTGGGCCTGGTCTGAACCGTCGTCCCCCTAGGCCTACCCTGCCTACTGGGAATTGGGCCATAACTGGGGCCCGTGTGGCTCAGTATGCCACACACTCCCCCCCTTGAAAGACCGAGCTAACTGCGAGGGCGAAGCTGTCTGACCGATGTCCGTACAGGGTGGGCAGGTTGGGCAGCTTCCTTAGCAAGTCGCTGTTTTTCGTAATGTGCGAAGATGAGGGGTGTTGTCGCCTTCAGATCAGCTCTTGAAATCCAGCGTGTGTCGTTCGGATAGCATTGCTTGAAGGTAACTTTGTACTGCATCGGCTTGTTGCCATGCTTGCGATGCGTGAGAACGCGGTCGACCTCCTGATGACCATCCATTGAAGGCGGGTCCTGTGACCGTCTGCCCGAGAAGTCCGCTGCGGAGGCTGGAGTGTAAACCGCCAACTTTGAAGCGTGAAAGATCGGGTGGACCGTCAAATGCGGGGGAATCTCAACGATGAATGATGGACCCGCGAGGTCGTCGCCAGCTGCTGAAGTGACCATCCATGGTCCAAACCACTTCGGGAGGAGCTTCCGCGAGACGTCGTGCTCGAGCGCGAATTCCTCGGAGGCGACCCAAACTAGGTCGCCAGCGCGAATTGGACATGGGATGTGACGCCGGTTCGCTTGCTGCTGGATACGGACCTGAGCCTTTTGCATGTTTGTGCGGGCTTTGGCCAGCAGTTCCTTGTACTTTCGTGTGGAAGCGGGGGAGCAAGCGGCGTCTATATCGAAAGCCCGTGGAAGCAAAATGTCTGCGAAGATACGTCCTTTCCGTCCACCGTGGTGCAACTCGAATGGAGTCACGTGAATCGCTGGTTGCACCGAAGTGTTGTAGGCGAACTCGATGTCGAGAAGGCGGTCAACCCAGTCCTTCTGATCCGGGCGGATGAGCGTGCGGAGCATCATCTGCGTCGTCTGGTGCGCACGTTCCGTTTGCCCATCCGTTTGAGGATGCCGTGCGGAACTCGGTTTCATGCTGGTGCCGTATTCCACCACGAGTGTCGTCCAAAAGGCCAACATGAAACGAGTGTCGCGGTCGCTGACGATGTCTTCCGGAACGCCGTGGCTGCAAAACCAGTCGGTGTGCAAAAGTCGTGCGAGCTCGGGAGCCATCGCCTGATACTTGCATGGAAGAAATCGAGCGTACTTGCTCAAACGGTCAACGACCGTGAGAATACCATCATGACCAAGGCGATCGCGAGGGAAAGGACCGGTCACATCCATAGCAATGGAGAGACCCAGTGCCCGAGGAATCGGCAATGGTTTCAGTTCGCCGTAAGGGAGCTGATGGCGCCCTTTGTTCCGGTGGCAAACTGCACATGAATGAATGTACCGGTTGACGTCACTGATGATGTCCGGCCAGTGAAATCGCTGGCGGAGTCGTGCTACTGTGCGTGCGACACCAAGGTGTCCCGCCAGCCGCGAATCATGGTATTCGCCAAGGAGGCGAGTGCGCAAGATGCGGTCTTGGGGAACACACAACAAGTCCTTGCCTGGTGTATGAAGAAGCAAGTAACCGTCGACAATGCGATAGTTGCTTGCCGGCGGTTGGTCCGATGTCCGCATAGAGTGTGGAGAATCCTGGATCCGACTTGTAGCCATTTACAAAATGTTGTTGCAGGTTCTCGTCGAGGCGGAATGTGGAGTGCACCAAGGCGCAAATATCAGGTCTTCGCAAGACAACATCAGCTGCCTTGTTCGAGGAGCCCGGAATGTGCTTGGAGGTGAAGTCGAACTAGTCAATGAAGTACATCCATCGACCCACCGTGTCTTGCGTCTTGTAATATGTCAACGGATTGTTGTCCGTTTCCCACGTGAATCGCCGACGCCCGAGGAGAAAGTGACGCCAATGCTTAAGTACGGTGACAAAAGCTAGGAGTTCCTTCTTCCTCGCATCATCAAGAGTGTTGATCGGCGGCACCTTTTGGCTGAAGTACTCAACCGGATGCCGTCATGTTGTTCCAAAACCGCGCCAATGTTGTAACCAGAAGCGTTCGTAGTCACTTTGGTAGGCTACGTCGGGTCATAGATGCTTAAGACGGGAGCTTCAAGCAAAGCCGTCTTCAGCGTGTGAAACGCATGCTGGGCCTCATCGCTGAGCTCGAAGGGCACCAAGGGGGACTGAAGTCGCGACAATGGTGCAGTGATGCGTTGAAATCCTTTGACGAAGCGCATGTAGTACGATGCCAAGCCGAGAAAGGAGCGGACGTCGGTAGTACACTTGAGGTCCGGCCAATCTTGAATAGCTTGTACCTTGTCCGCAAGCGGAGGAATGCCTTGCGGCGTGACGTAATGGCCCAAGTACTCCAGCTCTTGCTAGGCAAACTCGCACTTGTCACGGTTCGCCTTGTACTTGGCGATACGAAGCCGCTCCAATACGGCGTGAAGGTGCTCGAGATGCTCGTCCAGCGACCGACTATAAACCAAGATGTCGTCGAGGTAAATGAGTACGGAGCGGTCGAGTAAGTCACAAAATTCCGTCGTCATAGCCGCTTGGAAAGTAGCCGGGGCATTGGTGAGACCGGAAGGCATGACGATCCACTCAAAGTGCCCATACCGCGTCTTGAAAGCGGTTTTGTACCGATCTCTTGGCTGAATCTCGATCTGGTGATAATCGGACTTGAGGTCAAGCTTCGAGAAGTACTTGGCGCCGCCTAGTCGCTCGAGAAGATCATCGATCCGAGGGAGAAGGTCGACGTTCTTGATCGTTTGCGCGTTAAGTTTTCGGTAGTCGATGCACAAACGGAGGTCCTTGTTCTTCTTCCGGACGAAGAGAACGGGAGCACTGTATGGCGAACAGCAAGGGCGAATCCAGCTCTTGGCTAAGAGGTCGTCTAGTTGTGCCCGAAGCACTTGTAGTTCCTCTTCGCTCATGCGGTAGATACATCCGCGCGAAGGTACGGCGTCGTCCTCGAGAGTGATCCCGTGGCATATGGGCCGATCCGGTATGACTCCGGCGGGAGCTTGAAAGACATCCTCATAGTTGTCCAACAGCTCAATGATGCGTGGGTCCGACGTATCCGTCTTGGGCTGATCACCGGGTGGGAGGGCGTGAAGAAAATATATGCCCATCTCCTCGATGTCGTTCCGCTGGATGGATTGGGGAATGCTCGCCGCGGATACCACGTGACAACCAATCGAAGGATGAGGAAGCGGCACCGTACACGGGACTAGTTCGCCACGCCGATCACGAATGTGAACGGTGCGGCGATGGAAGTTCACCGGGTGGTCTTCGCTTTGCAGCCACGACATGCCTAGGATCATATCGAACTTGGTGTCCAATATGTCGAAAGACACGGCCTCGCTTGCTAGCGGGGCAAAGTACACGGGCACCGAGTCAACGCATCGGTCGATTGACTTTTGTGTGTGACCATCGACCAACGTGACGTGCGTAGGCTGACTTTTCCTTCGAACGCGCGGGCCGAGCCTGGCGCGTGCCATGAAGTCTTGGCTGATGTAGTTGCGAGTCGCTCCACAATCGATCACGGCACTGCAGGTCGCCTTTCCGATCTGAATGTGGATGTAGAGGAGCGGCGCGTCGTTGTCGACATACCGTTGCGTTGCGTACTCACGGTCGATCTTCGCAAGATAGTTACAAAGGTCAACAATCGCTACTCCGCCGTCCGTCGACGGAGATGGTACTGCAGCGTGCAAGTGTTCGCGTAGATGTGCCATTAAGGCATTGCAATGCGGAGTTGGCAAAGAACCGGTGGAGGGAAGAGGCAACCATTGGAAGTCCTCAACCGTCAATGGGTCGAGTTCCTCAAGACTCGCCCAAGTCGACGGATCCTCCGATAGAAGGGCTGGCGAAGCAACCGGTTCGTTGTCCGACGGCAGAACTGCCGCGCATACGCTTGAATCTTGCACGTGGAGAGGCTGGTTCAACGGTGGGACCAGCTCGACAGCATAGTTCTCAAACTCAACGCGAGAACTTGCGACTACCACGATGTCCCCGGATGTGAGAGAGGCTGCTAGCAAGGCAGTTGACTCCGACGGACTGGGAAATGTTGTCGCTGCACTTCCCGCGGTGCTCAGTTTCCCGAGCCCGAACGCTTGACATTTTCCTTATCCTTGTCAAGGCAGGCACTGGTGATGTGTTTGATGTTGTTGCACCACAAACAACATGACCATTTCTGTCGCAACTTGAACATTTCTTCGGTGATGCCAAATTTCGTTCATGGTGTCTGTCGCGCTCCATCCGCCGACGTTTCTTTCGCCTTCTTTCCCCCTCGGGGTTTCGTGCGTCACGGTGGTATCGCTGCCGCCACATCTCCATCACTTGATGTTGAAGCGGCTGTGTGGTCCTCACTTGTTCCTTGCTGGACTGCTGCTACTTGCGGCGTCCGTTGTCCCTTGCCTTTCTCCACGTAACCGGGCTGTTGGCGGGGCTCGTTAGCCGCACGCCGGTTACCTTGGATCAGGTCTCTTGCCTTTGAGATCAGCTCATCAAAGGTCTCATATTGAAATTCCGTACCAAGCGCGGCTGTCAAAGCGTCGCATGACCAAGCGAAGAATTCAGCCCGGATTGCGTCGAATGGTAAGCCCAACTCTGGGGTGGCGACGAGTCTTTGCCACTCCGTCAGCTGACGTTTGCTGGCCTTGGTAGACGCGGAAGATCTTGTTCATGGTGTGACGCTTGTTGTTGTTGACCATGAACCGGGTCTTTCACTTCTTCTCGAATTCCTCCCACGTGATCTTGGTGTGGAGGGTGGCGATGGTGCATTCCAATGTGACTGCCATATGCGTCATGAAGACCTGCGCTCCTCCAATGAGTTGGAGGTAGAGAGCGTCAAGCCGTCGGTGGGCGGGTGTATGATGTACATCCGCCTCTGTGTTGAAAGCCATCCACCATTGCAGCGGATCAGTCTTGTGATAGTCTTCGAACTTCTCGATCTTGAAGTTCGGCATCTTCCATTCCTTGGCGGCAACGGTCGGTCGTTGGTCAACGCGGTCGCTGAGCGTCTGCAGCTGATTGCTGACTGTCGACGTTCCAGCAAACTTGCTGATGTCGCCGAGGGATGCGACTAAATGATTGACCCGCTCCTCCAATTGCTTTGCCTGTGCGGCCAAAGCTGGGCTGCAATCTACCGCTGCACTGCCCGGTGACGCAGCTGCTGACAGCTGTGCCAACCCGTTGCTGACATCTGCCTGCAGCTGATGGTTGAGTGTCTGCTGCTGGCTGTTCAGCGTCTGCTGCTGGTTGTTGGCCGCCTGTAGTGAGCTGTTCTCGGCCTGCAGGGTCACGATCCTCTTGTCCATGGCCTTGAGTGTTGTTTCATGGCGGACGAGGACGTGCCGCGTGGCGAGCAGTTCACGTTGCTGCCAATTGCACGTGTACAGCAGAGTCTCCATTAGTACTGCTGTCCCTTCCTTGTCTCTTTCTTCCTCGGTTGGCCGGTCTTGTTCTTCAGTCTCCTGGAAATGCTGTTGTCGAAGTAGCCTGACATATGTGGCTTCGTCGCGAGCAAGATCCATCGTGGCTTGGTAACGAGCCTGGTTTTGATCTGCCTCGACCTGCTGCTGACGCAACCGTGCGGCCGCTGCAGCTTCTGCTGCGGCCCGCTGACGTGCTGCTGCTGCCTCTGCCTGCTGGCGTTGTATTTCCTGCTGGCGGGCGGCTTCCTCTTCTTCCCACTTGCGTAGGTCAGCTGCCGTTGTCTCCGAATACTGATGGAGACGGTCGAGGAACGCTAGGACCGTTTCATCGGCCTGCTGAACTGGGAGAGGAGGGGTAACCGGCCTCTTGGGGCTAGCTGGTGCACTGTTGTCGGAGGTAGCAGCCATGGTCGTGCGTGGCCTGCGCGGAATCCGAGGGGTGCTAAGTTCCTGTTGAGGCTTGGCTCCTGCGGATCCGCGCTCGGCCAGTCGTTGGCTGCGGCGCATCAAGATGTGTCACTGCTGACGTGGCACCTGCTGACATGGCACTCTGCTGACGTGTCACTGCTGAGGTGGCACTCTGCTGACGTGTCACTGCTGAGGTGGCACTCTGCTGACGTGTCCGGATGCTGGCAACCGTATACCGAGAGGAGAAAAGATGGTTGGGTGGGGAGGAGGGGTAGAGAGGCACACAATGCACAGACAGTCCCTGTGTCCCTTGACCTCGAAGTCTGACACTAGTCAAAAAAAAAAAAAGTTCCCCCCAAACGAATTTTCCGATTTTGCCATTTTGGGAAATTAAATAAAATTTTAATCGAAAAAATAGGAATTAATAAAATTTTAATTTCGGCAAAAGGTAAAATACCTGATTAACGAATATTTGACTTTGCAATAATTAATTTCACAAAAGTTAAATATTTATTATTTAATCAAAATATTTGAATTTGCATCAATAAAGAAATGAATAAGTTTAAGCAAGTTTAAACATTTAGACATAACTTTTTCGAAAATTTCACGAAATTTCGTCGGAAGATTTTAGCATCATCACGAGGTCATTCATGTAGTAGAAGATGAATGGTAGCAGGAAGATACACAATTCGCTGGAAAGATTCAACCTTTCAATCGCAAAAAAGATGCAGTTGCAAAAAGTGAAAGTTCCGTGAAGTTGCAGTTCGGATATGGCCTAGCTCAGGCCCGATCAGCCTTGATAGGCGCGGTGCCTGGCTGGCACTTACTTCCTATAGGTTAGGCAGGTCGTTTAGATTAGGTTAGGACTAACCCTAATTAGCGCTAATCAGGTTTACTCGTAATTAACGATTTCCTAATTGCGCAATATGGAGAAATGTCGCAAACCTAAAATTACAATTTTAACGACCTAGTTAACCATGAAAGTGCGAGAAAAGAAAAAAAAAATGCAACTTGCGATTTAATGATAACAGAGTGCAGGTATTGATAATCAATCAATCGATCAATCAATCAATCGATCAATCAATCAATCAATCAGTCAGTCAATTAATTAATGGTGAATCATCCAACGCTGGTCTGCTCCGATACCAAACTGTTGCATACTCGTGAAACACAGTCATAAGTATGGCGCAGATTCCCAGAACCGACCAGATAATACAGAGTTATACAGATGCACGCGCAAGACTTGAGATACCTTGGACTGACTCAGACCTGACTCGGACTGCAATCGAACACTCTCAACATTCACCAGGGTGTGAATGCCCTGGCCTCCAGTTATAGACGAAGGGCCAGGGCCGAGATCATACACGGACGAAGGGGGAGAGGAGAGAGACGAAGGAGGAG